AAAAAAACCAAAAAAAAAAAAAAAAAAAAAAAAAGCTACAACATGCTGTCTAAATTTCTTCATGATTTGGTCATATGACCTCTGTTTCTCTGAAACATTTCAAATGTGTTTTAGCATTGCCTTACCTCCTCCACACTTCCACATTAACACTGAAATTACTGTTAATGAAAATTCCCTTCAAAATGTGGATTCTGTCCCTGCATGTTGGGGCACACCTTTAATACCAGCGCTCAAGAGGCAGAGGCTGGTGGGTCTCTTTGAGTAGAGCCAGTTTGGTCTACATAGCAAGTTCCAGGACAGCCAGGATCACACAGAGAGAAACTGTCTTAAAAAAAAAAAAAGCGTGTAATACGTGGTAGAGTCCTAGTTTATGTACTGCCCCATCTCTCTCTTAGCAGGCCTTAGATTATGTTTTATTTTTAAATTGCTCAATGCTAGAAGCAGCTTTCAAATTGAAATATGGTATTTTTCAAACTTTTTATCCATGGAGAAAGAGTAGACTCAAAGTAGCTCTGCAGCTATGAACTAGCTAAGGTGGAGAGGATGTGTAGACAACTATTTTAAGACAATGGGTTGTCATCTAATAGGCTGGCAAATTAATTCAATAGGTCATAATGTGTCTTTAAGACTTTTAAATTGTATCTTGTTTGTATGCGATGGCTGTCTGTGTGTATGAGGGTGCACATGTGCTGCAGTGCACATGTAGAGATCTAAGACAACTTGCAGGAGTCGCTTCTCTCCTTCAAGCATGGGTTAGAACTCCAGGGTTCAGGCTTGGCAGCAGGCACCTGTACCTACTGAGCCATCTTATCTTACCTGCTCTGAGATGTAGCTCTTTTGAAAAATGAGATAGAAGAGAATAAAAAGAATCAATGTATCTTGTGCATAAGTGAGATGCTTCCTGCTTTACGAAACCTTGCTTCTGTCACATGCATTTACATGTGTGCCGGGTCATACTGTACTCAGACCAGTCATTTCCATGGCTTCAGATTCAGGATTGCTTGGCACTGGTAATGAATAGTTTCTCTGGTTTACATCTTCTAAAATTCCAATTCTATTGGCCTGGGAGAAGACCAGAACTCCCTAAGATAATGGCTTCAGTCTGGGCTAGTATCTTGGCTACACCCCAGTCACGATGCAGCCAAGCCACCAGGCTCCTACATGTAGCAGTCTAAGACGAGAACAGACAGAGGGTGCTGAGAAGAGAGGACTCCCTGACTCTGGGCTACCCCTTCCTCACCCCACCCTTAGACCAAGCCTCTGAAGTTTGCAACAGTACTCAAGGTAACAGAGGCAGTATGGATACCTTCAAGGATCCAGAACTCCAGAGACAGTGGTTAGTTAGAGAGGAGGGCACACACCTCTTCACTCACACCACCCTTCATATTCTCTCCTTATCGTTTTTATCCTTCTCCTCATCTTACAGTGTCATCATAAAACACTGTCCTAATATTTTAGCATGAGGATTTAAAAGGAGATGGACTTTTATAAAAGACCAATAATGAAGGAAAATTTAAAATACACATACAGGCTCAAGGGCCTACTTTGTACAGAAGTGACAGGAGAGAGTAGTAAAAGTAGGGTGAACAACTATCTCCATGGAAGATTTTGATCACAGTCAGTGTTAGAACCACTGATGAAGGATCCAGGGCAGAAGTCCCAATCTGGAGCTAAGAAATAAGAAGAACTTGTGTTGAAATACACATCTGCCTTTGAGCCTTCTTAAGAAAGATGTCACAGAGTCCTGAGATTCTTGGAGAACGACAAGTCCCTTCGGGACAAGAATTTACATAGATATAAGTGATTTGCCTACATCCATGTCTGTATATCACATGCATGCATTGCCCAAGAAGACCAAAAGAGGCTGTCATGTCAGTTCCCTGGAGTTACTGAAGATTGTTAGCTGCCATGGGGGTGTTGGGATTTGAACCTGAGTCTCTTGAAAAACAGCCCATGTTCTTAATCATTGAACAACCCCTAAGAATTTGCTTCTTGAAAAAGCAAGGTAACCAAGTAAGCCCTGAGCTGAGGCTCACTCTTGAACAGGGATGAAGTGGGATGAACATTAGCTTTTCCTAAGGTTGTCTACAAACCTAACAAAAACGACGCTCCCAGGGTGATACCCATCCCCCAATAAAGGAAGTGGAATATTGGTTTCCTAGACCCACTGTGGGAAGCACCAGGTAAACTGTGTCGGGGCAGTGGTGGTCCTAGGGAGAGACCACACTAGTAGTATAGTATGGCCTCTGAGAAAAGTATAGCCAAATCCACGCTCAGAATGAAAAGTAAAAGATGAGCACATTACTTCACTTCATCCTAAGGCAATGATTAAACGTGCACGTTCTACGTCACCCACCTGTCAACCTCCTCTTTGCTCATGGCCGCAAACGTGAAACACTCGGTCACACCATTGATGGCAAGCAGGAGGACATAGAGACAGTAGGAACGCATCAACACAGGACCTACAAAGACACAATCCACAGAGAGTCAAGAGTCAAAACGGGATGTGCCCTTAGCTCCACCATGTGTTCAGAGAATTAGGTCAGGGGACCTAATGGCGACAATGGGAGACTGCATGCCCACCCAAGGACTCCGCAATGACCAGAACACTCGGGTAACATCAAAAGGATAGAGACGTATAGTGGTATATTATTTGTGTTTTAATAAATAAAGTTTGCCTAAAGATCAGTGCAAAACAGTCACACTAGTCAGTCATACAGGCCAGGCAGTGGTTGCCCATACCTTTAATGCCAGCAGCCACACTAGTTAGCCATCAAGACCGGACAGAGGTGGTGCACGCCTTTAATCCCAGCTCATAAAAAGGGAGAAGACAGATCTCACTCTCAGTCTCAATTTAAAAATTCATGGAGACAGGATAGCCTACTTTCAGTCTGAGGAAGAAGAGCCAATGGCTGGCTGATTTGCTTTTCTGATCTTCAGGCTGAACCCCAATATCTGCTCTGGATTTTTGTTATACATGCTACATTTGGCACCCAACATTTGGGGTACGATTTCACAAAAAAAGCCAGAGCTACAAGTACCTGGAGTCACTGCCCTACCTGCTAGGTCTTTCTTTTTTCTGTCTTGGCTGGCTCTCCCTGAAACCCCTTCTTGGGCTGCTGCCAAACTAGCTGCCTTGAAATCCAGTCAGGCTTTTACTGTTCTATGCAGCAGCAATAAGCCTCACGTCTTCATCAACATCATTGGCAGATTTGGTAAGAAAATGAACGTAATGGCAATTCATTTATATTTTAATAAGTAAAGCTTGCCTGAGGATCAAAATAGTGAAATGCTGGCCAGACTTACAGACCAGGCAGCAAGGACACACAACTTTAATCCTAGTAGGCACACTAGCTCTCCATGGAAACCAGGCTGAAGTGATGCATGCCCTTCGTCCCAGAATGAAAGGATTATAAGACGGGAGGAGACAGCTCTCAGTCTCATTCTGAGATTCCTGGAGGCAGGATCATCATTTCAGACTCAGGTAGAGGTAAGAGCCAGTGGCTGGCTGTGTTGCTTTTCTGACCTTAGAGTTGAACCTGAATTTCTGGCTCTGAGTTTTTATAATCGTGCTACAAATTGGGAATTCTTAAAGGGAAGAATTAGTTAGAAGAGAGAGTTTTTTCTCACATTAAAAAAGGGAAAACACCATTACATTGGAGGGATTTGTGTCTGTATGATAATAAGCTGGGCAGTTTGAAAATGGAACAATTCAATGAGAAGATAACTAATTTAGAAGGGATTTATGTAATGTCAATTGTAAATGTCAACATTATCATTTTTATGGTATCATTTAAAAAGTTGGCTAATCTGAGTGCTAGGATATAGGCTTTAGAGAAATCTAATAAAACAGATCATAGAGATATTCAAATCCAGACAGAGGAATTTAATGGAGAACCAATTTCTGCATTGCATTGTAAGAATAGAGGGGAACAACCCAAGGTTTTCAAACAACCAATCTTAATATATCCAGCAACCTTACAGGAGTTGTCAAATGATAGAGTAAAAAGCTGAAATGGACTCCTAGGCCAATGTTAGATTTAAGGAGATTCAGGGAAGCAATAGTCTCATATGGCATGCATTCACCTTTTGTGAAGCAAATGTTAAACTCATGGTCAGTTTGAAATAGAATTATCCCTAATAACTGGATAGAGTTGGTTAAGTTGTTTTAGAGCTTGGTCACAATTACAATGGAGTAGCTTGTTCAGAGAAGAGGCCAAAACTATTAAAGAATGCAGTAAAGCTAGAGGTAGGAAAATATCTTATAGGCCCATATTCCAAATCTGGTTCAGTCATTTCCTGCAATAGTAGAGGAAACACCTTCCCAGAGCAAATAAAGAAATAAAGAACCTAATGCTTACTGGAAGAAACCATACTGCTTTGGATAATAAAACAGGTATAGAAGAGAAGAGAGAAGAAGAGAGAACAAAAAATTCAGAAGAAACCATAAAGCAAATATTTTGGGAAACTTATATAAATGAACAAAGACCAAAATTAAAAATATGAATAAATGACATTATCATTGACGGTCATCTGGTAGACCCAGGTGCAGATGAAACAATAATTTCATCAGAATCTTAGCATCCAAATTCACCTCTTCAGGATATAAATGTTCAATTTTTAGGTATCAGAATATTATCTCAGGTAAAACAGAGCACAAGATGGGTTGAATGTATAGGGCCAGAAGAACAGAGAAGAATATTAAAACCATATGTGGCTAACACAGCAATGAATTTGTGGGGACGTGATTTGTTACAGCAATGGAATACTCAGATTAACATATCATAGAAACAAACCATACATTAATGTACGTTTCTAGGAAAAAAATTAGAAGTTTTATAAAGAACAGTCACTGGCCATTCAGGTTGTACAAGAACAGGGCACAACAGCTGCTGATCTTATAAAAGCACCAACAGCCCTACCTTTAAAATGGTTGACAGACAAACCTGTATGGGTTAAACAATGGCCTTTAACAATAGAGAAACTGAAGGCTTTAGAATAGCTAGTACACGAGCAACTAAATGCTCAACATATTGAAAACCAACCAGCCTTTGGAATACTCCTGTGTTTGTTGTTAAAAAGAAATCTGGAAAACGGAGAATGGAAACAGATCTAAGAGCTGTTAATAAGGTGATTCAGCCAATGAGCTCTCTACAGTCTGACATACCTTTGCCTTCTCTACAGCCTAAATGATGGCCTCCTATATTTACCAATTTGCAATATGCAGAGTTGTTTTGCATATTAAAACTGTTGAATTTATATCAGATTATATAGAATTGACTTTATTATTTATACAGTTACAAGATACAATCAGAAATTAGGCATCATCCCATATACATAATACACATCCAATCCCATATGTGTCTACTAGATTCTCTAGCACAAAGTAATGCAGAAATCCATCAATTATTGATGGGAAATGTGAAGGCCTCAAAATTTCATGAAAAACCATGTCAATAGCATAGGTTTAAAAAAGACTTTTCTATTACGTGGTCACAAGCCAAGGAGATTATAAGAAAATATCCTACTTGTTCTTTATACAGCTAAACACCACTGCCTAGAGAAGTAACCCAAAGGGTACTCAAAGAAATTAAATATGGCAGATGAATGTGTTCCATTTTGTAGAATTTAGAAAACTAAAATATGTACAAATTTGAGATTAACTTTGTTGGAACATACTGTACATACATTTCTAGTCTTGTTCAAGATAGTGTACCTATATAACTCATTTAACAATGTAATGCAAAACTCTAGTCTTTGGAAATTATTATTGCCAACTGTTTAGGATACTAAGGAAATGCAGGTTAGTAGTTAATCACCTATTTTAATTGAACTTGTAGTCACATTAGGTGTTTTCAAGATCAAAGAGACAGTTTAGATAGAGAAATCATCTTCAAACACCTCAGAGATCTATAAAATATGACATCTAAGATATTTAAATAACATAGGCTTTTTTTTAAATGACAATGAGACATGTCTGCTTCTGACAGCACCAATCTCCTTCAGAGAAGATAATGGGCACTGAAGAAACTCCACATGGAGTTTACTTTCTTTGTGTCAAAAGTAAGCCACTGGACAAGAAAGTGCCTTTGCCTCAACTGCTGATAGTATACTGTCTTTATTGGATAAGCAGGACACAAAAGAAAGTGACTGCTGAACATTGTAAGGACAAGGAGGAACAGCCCTTCAGAATATCCTATTTTACAGAAAAGTCTGTTGGATATGCTAACCCTGTAGGCTGAAGATGAATGTCCCAATGTTGCAGAGGAACTTTGGGTGACTGTCCAGGCTTCCAGCTGTTTCTGTCATTTCTAAATTTTTTGGAAGTCTCTTGCATGCACTTCCTGCTTACTCAGTTAATATTATTCCCTTCTTGGGTATCTGAGGGAGTTGAAGACTAGATAGTTATAGTTTTCCTTGTTTACCAGATGCAGAAAGCAAGTTATGATAGAAAGTAAATTAGGTACAAGACTTTGAACTTATCAAGATAGGATAGATGTAGAGTATTTTCTCTGAATTTGCCAAATGCAAATGGACTAGACATTGCTGATGTATTTATTTTCTGTAAATACTGTATATAGGTATTGTAACTATTGCACATAGTTTTTCTTATCTTAGGTATAGCCTTTTTATTTTAGACAAAAGGGGAATATAGTGGTATATTATTTATGCTTTAATAAATAAAGCTTGCCTAAATATCAGTGCAAAGCAATCATACTTATCAGCCATATGGGCCAGGCAGCGGTGGCACATACCTTTAATCTCAGCATCCACACTAGTTAGCCATAGAGACCAGGCAGTGGTGGTGCATGCCATTATTCCTAGCACTAGAGAGGAATATAAAATGGAAGACAGGTCTCACTCTCAGTCTCAATCTGAGGATTCGTGGAGGCAGGACTACCCATTTTCAGTCTGAGGTAGAGGTAGGAGCTAGTGGCTGGCTGCTTTGCTTTTCTGATCTTCAGGGTGAATCCCAGTATCTGTCTCTGGGCCTTTATTATACATGTTACAGTGAGGAATAAAAACACAGATCTTATGCTGAACAACTAAAAGTTTATCTAGCCACAAAGCAAAGCTGTAAGCATTTCAATCAGCATAGAGGTGATGCCTGCAAGTTTGAGCTCTGAAGACACCAGCATGTATTAAGGGAAGCTCAACTGAGCAGGCTGCAAAGACCTTTCGGGAACAGCCAGTGCCAGGACTGTTGCGGGAGGTCCTTCTGCTCCTCCAGCCTATAGCCACTGAGATACCAGCCCATTGGGGCATGGTCTCTCTCCCTTTAAAAAAGCGGCTACTTCCCTTCTCGCTCTCTTACTTCCTGCTTCGCTTCTTGCGCAGAGGGCTGTTGTCTGGGACAGTGATCTGTAAGTTTTTTCCCCTTTAAATAAATACCACCCTATTAATCATAATTCCAAACTGGTGTGGGATTGTTTTGTGACTTATGCCTTCACAGGACCAGCAGCAAACTCCTAAGACAGAACTTCACAATCCACAGTGAGAATCAGAGGCCCCAGTGGTACATACGGTATTACATTCAGCTATACATTTTTAAGAACTTTGTTGATCCAGGGCAGTGAGATGGCTCAGCTGGTACGGTGCTTGCTGCAAAGACGGATGCCTAAATTTGATCCCTGGGACCCACACAGGAAGAAGCAAACGCACTCCTACAAGTTGTCCTGACTTCCACATACTTGTGGCACCTGTATACACACACACACACACACACACACACACACAGTGTCATTTTTTAAAATTACAGACTAGAGACTAGAAGCTTTATCATGGGTTTGATTCCTCACTTTTCAGAGAGCTATTATGATACAGAGATGAGCAATTAATTTCTCTCTCTCTCTCTCTCTCTCTCTCTCTCTCTCTCTCTCTCTCACTTACTCTCTCTCTCTCTCCTTCCTTTCTGCTGTTATCATTTGATTTTGGGAAGACAGTGTTTCATAGAGCCATGGCTGACCTCAAACTCTTTACCCCTTGTTTCCACCTCCTGCATACTGGTATTTCAAGCATGCAACACCATGATTTTCCTGAAAGAGCAATTTCTAATAAAAGAAATGATCGTTCAAACTATAACCCAGCAATTGCACCCGAGGTATCCATCCAACAGAAATGAATGAACACGTTCACAAAATGTGGACTGGCTCTATTCATAATCACCCAAACTGACCAGCAATAGAAAAAAGGACAAGCCAACTGGTGCCTTCCATTCAGAGTAACGCTCCTCAGCAAGAATACTTTTAAAAGGGTGGCTAGAGAAATGGCTCAGCAGCTAAGAGTACTTCCTGTTGTTTCAGAGGACCTGGTTCCGTTCACAGCATCCACACAGTAGCTTGTAACTGTCTAAAATCCACTTCTGGTGACCCCATTCCCGCTTCCAGCCTTCAAAGACACCGTGCGGTACAGACACATACGCACAGGCAAAACATTTGTACATATAAACTTTAAAATAAAAATTAAAAAAAAAAAAAAACAAAGAAAAGAAAAGATTTCTGGGCATTGTGGTGCACACCTTTAATCCTATCACTCAGGAATCAGAGGCAGGTGGATCTCTATGAGTTTGAGACCATCCCAGTCTACAAAGTCAGTTCTAGGATAGCCAGTGCTGTTACAGAAAGAAACCCTGTGTCAAAAAAAAAAAACAACAAAAAAAAAAAAACCCAAAACAAAAACAAAAAGCCCAAAACAAAGCAGAACTGAAGAAGCTTGGGCTGAGAGTGGTTAAGAGTCTGCTTAGCATCTGCAGAGCTTGGAGTTCTATCCAGCACCAAATAAACCAATACACACAGCAAATAAAGTAGTAAGGCCAAACCATGGAGACAGGACATTCTTTTCTGCTTAATGCAGGAATCCTTTCTAGGCAAAGTCAAGTTTTATAAAAATACTTAAGTCATAAGAAAAAAACTTTTAGGCTGGGCTGGGAAGTCCTGTGACGTGAATGTTTTCTGACACACAGCACTAGTTAGAGCAAGAAGAGAAATGGAGTATGGGACACCCGATAGGCACAGTCCATGGGCTTTGCAGGGTAGTATCTTGGTGACAGCTTGGCCAAAAGCAAAAGGCAATGAGGCAGGTGTGGTGGCAGAGGCAGCGTCGCCCTACCATATGAGCACAGTAATCACTGAGCAGCCCTTCTTGCGGCTGTGTTGAAGCAGAGGCTGTTTCTTGGGGACTGTTTTCTCAGGGGGCAGAGTTGGTATGAAATAGTTGGACCCCATCTCTGCACATAAACTTCCTAATGGCTTCCCAATGAGGCCTCCCAAGCAGTTCCCTGATGGAAATGCACACCCCAGGGAGCCACAAACCACATCATAGGCTTCACAGCAAGCATTTCCTCAAATTTAACAACCTTTGCTCCAGTGTAGAAACATGGTCTTTTTCCCCCAATTCCAAAAGTCTGAGCTCCATTGTGGTCACTGAAACATGGAAATGTAAAATTGTACTGGCAGGGTTCTTTATTGAAATGGGTCAGCAGAGAATCTTCCTGTTCCTTCTACTGATCTGAGAAAGCAAAAACATCTCTGCTTATTCCAGGATAAAAACTGCAAATAGATGGTCAGTCTAGAGCCTAGCATAGTTTGAAAGGGTAAAAACCCCCAAGTACTAGCAAGTACAGTGAAATTCTAGGCAGCCTGGAGATCAAGAAGTTCTTCTATTTCTTCTTTTCCTCCTCCTCCTTGTTCTTCTTCTTTTTTGTTTTTGTTTTGTTTTGTTTTGTTTTGTTTTTTAAGACAGAGTTTCTCTGTGTAGCTTTGGAGCCTGTCCTGGGACTTGTTCTGTAGACCATGCTGGCCTCACACTCCGAGATCTGCCTATCTCTGCTTCCTGACTGTTGGAATTAAAGGTGTGCACCACCACTGCCTGGCGTGATCAAGTATTTCAATGATAGATATAGTCTATGCTTTTCTCCTTCCAAATCAAGAGTCCATAGATTAAATATATATTGTGATTTGCCAAGATCAATTTTATTCTAGGCAAATGGCTCTGGGTTATTTTTCCAAGGCTTTTACTAAACACACTCTGAGATTTACAAGGCACTTACTATCTCAGATGTATTTAGTACCCAGTAGAGACCCCCATAGACCACACTCTGCTTTCCTCCCTCACTTAGAGGGAACACAGATAAGATAAATACTTGGCAAAAGATTTTATGCCTGAGAGGAACACCAACAACAAGGAGGATTCACCACTTCTTTACATGAAGGTGGGAGAACTGATTTCCCTGGTGCAAGCCCAGACTGCACACTGATTGTGCACTGATAGTGAAAGAAGAGACCCAAAGCCCCAGCTATCCAGAATTTTGCTCCACAATGACACAGAGGTCACCCAAGTGTGCACATGGCCTGAATTTCACGAGCTGCCTCTATTTCTCTTCAGAAATCAGAACAGACTGTTACAAAGTCTAGCACATACCCGATCCTGAACTAAGCATGGCTCCTCCGTAGATGTCTAGAGCCAGTTGAGAATAGGCAAAGCCAAATACAGTGATGGTCAGGCCAGTCAGCACAGCCAGCTTGAGGAGAGACTCCAAAACCGCAGCAGCCACAGCAACGTCCTCCTGGGCCAGGGGAAAGGAAGGAAGTCAGAGTCCGAGCTGAAGTGTCCTGATGCAGGCCGGCTTTCCCAGGGAGGGCTGTGCACCTCTGCTTTTCAACTCTTCAGGAGAAATGTCCGGTGTGCTGAGGAGACATTGCTCTATTCCCACATTTCCACCACACCAGCCAGATCTGTGCTGCTTCTGACTGACAGCCGGGAACTCTGCCCTTGTCACTGCACACTTAGGAAAATATTCCTACGTCAGACTTGGAACCAGATCTTACTTTCAGATACTGGGCATAAATTGCATTTTGTCAAATATCTCCTAAGACACATAACAGGTGGATCTAGACTGCTTTTAATTGCAAAATAAGTCAGAGGGGGGCAGAGGAGAAGGCTCCTCAAGTAAGAGTGCTAGCTCTGTACGCATGTGGGCCTGAGTTCAAATCCTCAGCACACATGTTAAAACAAAACAAAACAAAAAAAAACAGCCAGCCATGGCTTTCTATGCCTGTAACCCCAGCATTGGCGACTGGAATAAGCAGATCGCAAGAGCTTGTTAGCCAACTAGCTGAGTCAAAACGGTGAGCTCCTTCATCAGTGAGAGGAAGTCTCAAGGCCTAAGGCAAAGAAGACAGAGAAGACACATGGGCACCCGCATACTCATGTTCTGATCTCTACATGTGCACGCAAGGACACCTATCTGCATACTCACATTCTGGTCTCTACATGTGCAAGCATGGGAACTTGCATACTCACATTCTGGTCTCTACATGGTCAAGCATGAACACCTGCATTTGCATACTCACATATGTGCATCTCACACACAGTAAATTAATAAAATAATAAAAGTTAAAATCTTTTTAAGGCTAAGCAGTCGTGGTGCACACCTTTAATCCCAGCACTTGGGAGGCAGAGGCAGGTGGATCTCTGTGAGTTCAAGGCTACCCTGGGCTATAAAGTGAGTTCCTGGGCGGCTAGGGCTATACAAAGAAACCCTATCTCAGAAAAAAACAAAAACAAAAGACCCCAAAATGTTTTAAAGTAAGTCAGAATTTTCAGTGGTTACGGGGCTGGGAATCTAGTTCAGTCGGGAGGATGCCTGCCTGACATGTACAAGGTTCCTAGTGTGACCCCTCATGCTGCACAGACTGCCTGAAGGGACACACGTCTGAAATCCCAGCACTTGGCAGGAGACTCGGAAGCTCAAAGCCATCATTTGCTACATGAAACCCTGTTTAAAATAAACAAACAAACAAACAAAAACCCAAAAAACAAAAATAGAAACCCAAGCATTAACTAAAGAGTAAGGTCAGGCAGGAGGACAGCCAGGAGCAAAGGAGAAGTAAACTGAGTCCTGCCAGCAGTAAGAGTGTGACGGTGACGGGAGAATGACCCAGGTGTGACGACACACGCCTTTAACTCCACTATGTAGGCAGCAGAGGCAGAAGGATCAAGAACTTCCAAGTCTACCTTGGCTACAAATGGAGTTCAAAGTCGCCAGGGCTACAAAACCCTGCCTCAAAAAACACAGCAAGGCCAGGTGGTGGTGGCGCATGCCTTTAATCTCAGCACTTGGGAGGCAGAGGGAGGCGGATCTCTGAGTTTGAAAACAACCTGGTCTAAGAGTGAGTTCCAGGACAGCTAAGGCTACATAGTGAGATCCTGTCTCAAAAACAAAACAAACAAACAAAAAACAAAGCAAAACAGGACAAAGAAGAGGTCTAGAAGGGAGCATCAGCTCAAACTGAAGGAACACCGACTGCCCATATTTCTTCCCATCCACCCGAGAGAAGTCATGAGCGCCAACCTTACCTGCTTCTGATGTGCGGCATCCTTTTCCCTCTCTAGTACCTTAGCAAAGAATATATAAAAACTCTCCTCTACTGGCTGGAAAATTAGCCTGGCCACAAGGGACCCGAGATTATTCACTATATCATACACACCTACAAAACAGAAAGGAAGAACAATAATCACGTTAGTTCTTAATTTCACAGCACTACAGGAAAAATTACTTCTTTAATTTAATATTTAATTTAAAATTTTTAATTGTTTTTTTTTTTCTTTGGGCTATAGGATCTCATGTAGCCCAGGCAGGTCTTGAACTATCTATGTAGCCAAGAAAAGCCTGAACTTCTGATCTCTCACCCTCTTCTCCCAAGCGCTGGGACTGCAGGTGTGTGCACATACCTACTTTCCACGGTGCCGAGGATTAAACTCAGGGCTCTGTGAATGCTAGACAAACACTGTACTAACCAAACTGCTTCCCCAGCCAAAAGTTTACAAAGTTGAAGATAAACTGTATATTCCCATGTGGTTGAAGAAATGCTAGATCTATGCACCAAATGGCAGTATCTGTTAAATCTGGAGCATAACCCCAGCCCCTGGCATCCATCCCAGCCCCCTGGCCTGGGTGTTGCTTTGGTCTGGACTCCAAATCCCAGCATGCCAGGCCCTGACCCCTCTGTGGGGGGAGAGGATCAGGACCAATCCCACAGGGTATTTAAGTAGGCTCCCAGAGGAGATACACATGGTTCTGGAACACACACATGGTTCTGCTCCCCACTTTCCTGTCTCCCCATCATGTGCTCGGCCACCCGAGAGCACCTTATTTAATAAAACAATGGGCTTTTTAATTCAGTTTGATCTGACCTAATTGGATTTCTTTGTGCCAGCAGAGCTGGTCGTCTTAGGATTTTTTTCTAACAATATCTTGCAAAACCTGCAGTACAATATTGCAACCATGATCCTGCCATTGTCACAGTCATGAGAGAGGTGCATTTATCAAGTAAGTCATCAACTCAAAACTAACCTTTTCTCTACTTCTACTTCCATGACTCTGATGTCACACTGGAAAATCAATATAAAACAAACCCTGAGAGACTTACCCAGGTGCACTGCCTGGGAGCAAAACTTTGTGACTATGATGAGCTCTGCCCCTCCAAGTGACTACAGGAAGCAAGGAGCGAGTGAGGGTCCAAACAAGCCTGCCACTCAGATCACACGACAGGGCATCATCAAAGACCTAGCGTCTATTAATGGCATCCATCTTTAATGAAAACACTACAGAATTTCATCTTACCCTGGTCGCCAAAGTTTAATACATTCAAAAATGTCATCACATATCGCTCACCTGTAAGAGAAAAGCAAAATTATTAGAATTTCAAATGAAATAATCATTTTTTTCTTTCCTTTTCTTTATGATCTATCAATGCTTCCAATTGATAAATATACTCCCCTACTCCCACCCTTTTTGTGAGTTCAAGAACGGACTCAATCTTGAGAATCTCCTGCCATACATTCCTGGGTACTGGGCTTACTGGTGTGTGCCACCATGCCTGGATCTAGTTCACAAGTATTCTCAGAGAAACTTAGATAACCAATTAAAGACCAATGTCCTAGCACTGAATTCCCCACCACCTCACAGTAACAGTTCTGAAAGTGCTGAGGTCTTAATTGATGGAGTCTTAAAGCCAAATTAAAACAAAATAAAGAGTATTTCAAAATCAGTCTATTAACAATAAAATATGGTGAGACTGCGCTAATATTAACAGTGAAAATGGGGCCGGGCGGTGGTGGCGCACGCCTTTAATCCCAGCACTCGGGAGGCAGAGGCAGGTGGATCTCTGTGAGTTCGAGGCCAGCCTGGTCTACAAGAGCTTGTTCCAGGACAGGTACCAAAAACTTCAGAGAAACCCTGTCTCAAAAATTAAAAAAAAAGAAGAAGAAGAATAACAGTGAAAACGGCTTCTAAGTCTTAAGGGAGGCCACATACACACCCTCCCTCCCTCTCTCGCTCTCTCCTTCCCTCTTTCCCTCTCTCCAGGGTTTCTCCGTGTAGCCCTGGCTGGAACTCATTCTGCAGACCAGGTTGGTCTCAGAGGTCATGTGCTGACTGAGTGAGATCCAAGCACAGTCCACACACATGTACAACTGTTGCTCATCTGCCTTTGTTCTCAGCACCTGACACTGTGTACAGGAAGCATGGGCAGAAGGGAGACATGTACACTCTCACTACTGCACACAAGACAGGCTTTTTGCTTTATTTTTCTGAGACAGGGTTTCTCTGGTTAGCCTTGACTGTCCTGAAATTCACTCTGCAGACCAAGCTGGCCTCAGACTCAGAGCACCTGCCTCTGCCTCCCATGTGCTGGGATTAAAAGTGTGTGCCACCATTGTCCAGCTGAAAGACAGTTCTTAATAGAGTCAAAAAATGTAATATAAAAAAATGTATAAAAAGTTAGGTTATGATAATGAGATTATATGTTTTTCTCTAATTTTCAAAATTTCTGTCATTGATCTAATACTTTTACAATAAATTTATTAAATGATATAATTTGGGCTTTTCCAGTTAGATTTTACTGTAGTTTGAGTGTGAAGTATTCCTCCAAGTTCCATGTGTTTAAGGTTTGAGTCCTGGGCACGGTGCTACAGAAACCTCCAGGAGGCAGGACTGGAGGGAGAAAGTCAGGTCACTAGAGCATGCTGCTGAAGGATATATTAAACTCTGGCCCCTGTCTGTTTTCCGGCAAGCCTCCTCTGCCATGCACTAGCGCCATGATATGCTGCGGTACTTTGGGCCCAAAGCAACAAGGCTAAGTAGCCATGGGCTAAAAGTGTGGGCCAGATTGAACCAGTTCTGCTTTTAAAAGTGATTATCTCGGGTGTTTGGCCACAGACTGAGATTACAGTTAAGCCATCCTTTGTTACTACAGGACTCCCAAGTCAGCCCACACAGAGCACGGCCCCAATCTCCTCATCCCTGCACAGAGGGAGAGAATGTCTTTTATAAGGCAGTGGAGAGATTTAAACTAGACAGCTCAGGTAAAACATAGAGATAAACAAATAATGGTTCCCCTACCTTCATTTAAAACAAAACACAGCAAGTATTTTCTAGGTGTCCTCTGCGAGGACCCCAGACAGGCGCTCTGGAGTCAGTGTCCCGTGAGATCTTTTGCTTCTATCTCCCAGTTGCTCAGCGTGACCTTTTGCTTTACTTACCTTCTGTCAAAATCTGTTTCAAGAAAGACTGTTTGAAAAAACTCCAAGTCAATTTAGCCTCTTTCCAATTTACAAATGCCTAAAAGGAAAAGAAATCATAAAACAAAATTACCAGCATTTCAAAGCTAAGAGCTACCTGGGAGGCAAAGGCCCATAAGGTCCCAACTTGAATAGTTCCCTCTGAATCTTCAACCAGGGATAAGCACACAGAACCAAAACATACCAGAAAATAATGGATATGGCAGCTATAATTTAAATCTTGAATGCTCCTGAAGGCCTGTGGTGAAAGCCTGGTCTTCAGTAGGACCTGACTGGAAGGTGGCAGAGCCTCTCAGCGGTGTGCAGTGAGAAAGCACTAAGGCCACTAAGGGTGTGTTGTGGGGGGCACTGTGCCAGCCCCTTCTCTTCTTTCCCTTCCCAGACAGGAAGGAACTTTTTGTTCAGCCATGCACTCCCGCCACAATGTGCCACCCTGACACAAGTCCAACGCAGCAAGACCAACTGACCATGGATGGAAAGCTTTTCTGGTCAGGCATCTTGTAATCTCAGTACCCAGAAGGCCGAAGCAGAAACATGTTCAAAACCAGCCTTAGCTATAAAGGGAGCTCTAGACCAGCCTAGATTACAAAGTGGGCCCCTATCTCAAAAAAAAAAAAAAAAAAAAAAAAACAGAGCAAAAAACTTCAAACAGGAGTGGTGGCTCCTGTAATTCTAGCATCAGGAGGCAGAAAAAAGGACCGACCTCGATCCAGAATATTCTGGTGACTGAGTGAGTTTGGGGCCAGCTAGAATATAGAGTGAGAACTTGTCTATAAAAAAACTAAAACTGAACTAAACTTTCTTTATAATTTATTTCAGTTAGTTGTTACAATAACAGAAAGCTTACTTCCAAAATTGGAAGGCAAAGTCTTAGGCATATCTAAATCATTACATAAAGAACCCTAAAGAATTACTAGTGTTCCTTTGGGTGCCTCTGCAAATATAGAGAGAACACTACCACATCTAAAACAGTTCACATTCAGTTCTTTCCTTAAAAAAAGATAGATGATAGATAGATAGATAGATAGATAGATAGATAGATAGATAGATAGATAGATAGATGATAGATGATAGATAGATAGATAGATAGATGATAGATAGATAGATGATAGATAGATAGATAGATGATAGATAGTTAGATAGATAGATAGATAGATAGATAGATAGATAGATAGATAGATAGATAGATATGGTAGATTTGTTCTTCAAATTAGACCCCTTGTATTCCTTATCTTAAGGCTACCTTTGGCCACTTAGCCTTGACACGGTTATAAGGTGTATTCACATATTCCAGAAGAAAACCAGCCTTCCTAGGTCAAGTAAATCACTCAGAATCAGTACAACAAATCAAAGTCTAGATTAATAATCACAACAACAAAACCCTAACTTTACCTCTGCCTCTTCTGAACCTCCCAGGAGCCTCAGGCTGCCACTTCCTAAAGACAATGAAGGTGAGGAAACAAACACTCAGCGAGCCTTCAATCCAGAAAACCAGAGTGAACAATGGATAACTGGTTTCCTCAGTTCTCAGCGGGGTCTCTCTGTCGCAGGCATCCTAGAATCTCAGACATTAAGTCCAGAACAATGCTGCCCAATGGAATTATACTGCTTAGTTTTCTGCAGCCACAGAAAACAGGAAAAAGAAACAAGGGAAATCATTCTGTTTTGCTTTTCTTCTATGTATGTATGTATGTATGTATGATGTATACAATATTCTGTCTACATGTATGCCTGAAGGCCAGAAGAGGGCACCAGACCTCATTACAGATGATCATGAGCCACCATGTGGTTGCTGGGAATTGAACTCAGGACCTTTGGAAGAGCAGGCAATGCTCTTAACCGCTAAGCCATCTCTCCAGCCCCTCTGTTTTGCTTTTCAACACATGTTCTAGCCATATAGCCAAATAACTTTCAATTCACTATGTGGCTTAGCCTTCTGTCTCATTGCCATGACAAAACACCTGATGTGAGAGGCTCAAGCAAGGAGATTAGGCTGGCCCACACTTCCAGGGTCCGTCCTGGAAAGCCAGGAGCTGAGGCAGCTGGCCGTGCTGTATCCACAGTCATGAAGCAGAAGACAATGAATTCAATGGTCAGCTCCTTTCCCCTTCAGTCTAGTCCAGGACCCACTCATGGCTGGTTCTGCATGCACTAACAGTGCACCTCCCCACCCCAGTCAACCTAATCTAGAGACTCCCTCACCGACCTGCTTAAAGGGGCCTTTTCTAAATGGTTCTAGCTCCTGTTGGGTTGATAATCAATAGTAGCTATTATATGTAACCCAGGCTGCTGTTACTGATGATCCTCCTGTCTCAGCCTCCCCTCCCGAGTGCTGAGATACAGATATGCAACAACCTAACTAGCTAATTAAGACAAATGTGTGTGTGTGTGTGTGTGTGTGTGTGTGTGTGTGCATGCGTGCATGTGCGCACGGTGGTTAGAAGACACCTCTGGGGAGTCAGTTTTCTCCTACGTTTACATGAATTCAGGTTACCAAGTGTGCTCAGCCAGAGCAGCTCTTCCAGCTGGGCCATCTCATTGGCCAAACATGACTATGAACTCTCTGCTTTCTCGCCTCCACACCCAAGTGCCAGGACCACAATCCCACACCACCACGCCTCATTTCTTTTAAGATAGGGTCTTATATGGCCATCTAACTTTGAACTCAATATGTAACAGAGGAAGACAGTGAACTCTGGATCCTCCTGCCTCAACCTACCAAGTGCTGGAATTATGGGCACGCCATCACATCCTGCTGCATAATTTTAATATACTTAACTCAAAATATTATTCTGCTGGGCAGTGGTGGCGCATGTCTTTAATCCCAGCTCTCAGGAGGCAGAGGAAGGTGGATCGCTGTGAGTTCAAGCCCAGCCTGGCCTACAGAGTGAGTTTCGGAACAGCTCTGTCTTGAAGAATCAAAAGAGAAAAAAATATTATTCTTTTACCACGTGCTGAAGATAAAGACACAGCGCAGCATTTCACACTGTTGTTTTCACACAACCTTTAAAGTGCAGTACGCATTCTAAACTCACTGCTCCCTCAATTCAGATTAGCCCAAAATGCTCTACAGCTGCATGCAGCTCAGGCTGATGACTATTTTAGCCAGGGCAATCCTAGAACACCTGAGAAACTCAGTGGGGGCTCTTTTTCAGCCCTGATCCTTCTCCCCTTTTCTTTTAGACAAGAAGAGGATGAGCCTGAGTCCCCCCCAAACTGTGCTGCCTTCAGGGTGTCAAAAACTCTGAGAAGATGCCAAAGTATCTCTCGCCCTGAAGGAAGCCTTCCCCAGACAGAAGGAAATAGGGCCAAAGATGTTTGTTCTCCAGAACAAAAGGTGCCAGACAACCTAGCACCACAAGAGGGCACTGTGGACCACTCATTCAGAAGAGAGCCATCTCCCATCGCCCCCGCCCCCGCCCCAGCACAAGGATGTCCCTCTGAGGGTCTGTGCTGTAGCACCTGTGCTATTTCAAGGGAAATGAGAAGCTCAAGTTTGCCCCAAAGGGCTCTTGGTTCCTGCCACCCCCACCCCCTTTCCCAAGATACTCTCACTTAGGTGGCCCAGGCTGGCTACCTCAAAAGCTTGTAGCCACTGTTCCTCCTCATCCTCTCAAATGCTGGGACTGGAGGTGTGCATCACTACATCAGACCCCCAGATACTTTTGTTGAAGCCTACTTGCCAGTAAGTAGTAGTATATGTGTTTGGGCAATCGGTTCAGATTTCAAAAGAGAAAAGTCCTCAGGAGAGTGAATCCTAATGCCTCAGCATAGATTCAGAAGGAAAGGCCACACTATTTACTACGGCCAAAGTGTTCATTAAGGACACGTTGGCAGGAAGTCCACTCTGAGGCTTGGGTTCTCAGGCCACTAAGTGATAGAAAAGAGGAAGCAAATTCTGGGAACTTATATCTTCCTATTTAGAATGGATCTGCCAACTATTTAATAAAGCTGAGCTAAGACGGGCATGAATTCCTCTGAAATCTCCTGAGCAGACATCCCACAGCCTTGCTGTGTTACCTGGCACTGAGACTTGGAGGGTGAAAGGTGAAAGGCACTGTATGAACGGTGACAGGCTCGCCCTGCTGAGTCACTCTTCCCCTCCCAAACTCTGACTCAGGATGAGCAGCTGTAGCCCTCCACACAGACAAGTCACTGGGAAGCCTGAGGCCACGGGCATCACGGGCATCGCCTCCACTGCTCCGTCTCCGTACAGCACTCTCTCCCTTCTCCTTTCTCTTCACATACCAGTCCTCACAGGCCACTGGCTGCCCCAGACTCGCCCATCCTTCCATTTTCATCACCTCATGACTGTTTAAAAAAAAAAAATTCTAAGAGAAGACCAACCATTGTCTTCACTTGTATACCTACTGCTGAGCCCACCTAGCTCCAAATATCTCCAGCCGACAACCACACAGAAGGCCCTTGCTGAACTCAGTAGGTCACAAAATACAACAAAAGCTGTAGAGCTCACCGCAGCAAGCATGTGATGGAATACCCAATGCAGACTCAGCCAGCCACGCTGTGTGCTGCGTCATCACAATGCACAGGACTGTGTGCATCTAGTGTCATCAGAACAGAAGCTTGGGATGGCTAAGAATCCTATCTGCGTTCAGGAAGGCTTCCTGGAGGAAACTGCCTTGAGAGAGAGCTTAACAGGGGTGGGCAGAAGTGAGCTGTGGATGTGTGGTGACACTCAGAACCGCAGGAGAACAAGAGATGCTTCAGAATATGGGGATGGCTGGGGTCCTCGAGTGGACCAGATAGGGAGTGACAGAATAAAGGTGGCTGGAGATTGTGAAGGGAGGGGAACATGGCATGATGGGCTAGCACCAAGTAGCGGTAACCCTGGTTTGAACTTAATTTGGGAGCAGTGGAGCTTCAGGAAGGTTTGGTTTTGTTTTAGAGTAGAAAAAAAAATTGGTTATTTTTCATTTTTTAAAATTAAATTTGTTCTTCAACAATTTTGCACACTTACAGTACTTTACTGACCCGGCTCACCCTTTCCCAGCTCCCTATCAGCCCTGGCTACCTGCCATTCCCTACAGACCGTTCTCATTTCATGACTGTAATGTCCGTATTCTGAATCCCAGCCCAGTGATGGGCACAGAGCAGGTTAAACAACGCTTTTGTTCTCCCTGCGGTTCTGAGTGTCACCACACATACACGGCTCACTTCTGTCCTCCCCTGTTAAACTCTTCCTCCAGGAAGCCTTCCTGAATGCCCCAGATGGGATTTTCAGTCGTCCCGAGCTTCTGTTCTGATGACACTAGATGCACACAGTCCTGTGCATTGTAATGACGCAGCACACAGCGTGGCTGGCTGAGTCTGCATCGGATACTCCACCACAATGCACTCAACATGGACTCATGCTGAAGACATGCGTGCTGCGGTGAACTCCACAGCTTTACTTAAAAATCTGCAGCCTTTTCAGGCATGCCAAAGAATATACAAAGTAGTGATTATTTAAGCTGCCATTTATTTATTACAAATCTAAATGAAGCCAGGTGGTAGTGACACACACCTTTAACCCTAGTTCACGAGGCAGAGGCAGGTGAATCTCTGAGTTCAATCCAACCTGATCTACAGAATGAGTTCCAGGACAGCCAGGGCTACACAGAGAAACCCTATCTTGAAAAGCAAACAAAAATATCTAAATAAACACCTATAAAGAAAATGGAATTCTAGAAGATTAGGAAGAAAGCCTTATCATTTGGTCAAATTGATCGTGCATGACTGTGAGAATGGTTTTGCGCAGGAGCCTGGGGCAGACCGCCACTCCAGGGAGACAGACAAGCACGCTGTTCACAGGTGAGCTGAGCACACACAGACTATTCTCTTCTTGACTTCTGTTTTGTTGTTTTTGAGGCAAGGACTCACTATGCAGACCACCTGCCTCCTAAATGTTGGAACTAAAAGAATACACCACTACATCTGGCTTAAGACTCTTCTCTTTACCCCATTAAAAATAATAAGCCTGAGCAATTTTTCTACCTGGAACTTCTCAATCTTTAAGTAAATAAAAACTACCCGATAAAAAAAGCCCGATTCTTTCGGAAGACTTGTTAATCACATAGATCAGAGCCAGTCCACAGAAAGCAATCTCAAGGAAGTGGATTCAAATCAAGCTACATGGTTTGGGGTTACAGTCACTTAACTCCTCTGACCTTCAGCTCTCCCATCTGTAAAAGGAGACATTTACCTCATAGGACCTTGTGAAGATGTAACACGAAAACCCACATCAGTGCTGGCAAGAGTGGTTCCTGTACTAGACTGCTCTTTCCTCCCTCCCTGAAGCTCTCCATCTCCCCCTGCATCATTTCTGGCACTACTTGGAATTGAACCAGGACCTTACAAACATTAGGCTATAATCTTAGACTTTTTCCTCTTTTTTCAGTTTTGAGACAGGGTCTCACTAAGCTGCCTATGCAGTCTGGAACTCACTGTACAGCCCAGGCAGTCCTTGAACTCTTGACCCTTCTTCCTCAGCTCCTTGTGTGGCTGTCATGTGCTATCAGGTTCATCTTACATGGCTCTTTTCAAAGTTCGAATGACTTTGTGGAGCTCCTAAGTCTTCAGATGAGCCTCACGAATCAGAGAAGCCAATTCTAAACATAACGACTCTGGCCAGGGGTGGGGGAAGCCTATAGTCCCAATTATTGGTGAAAATGAGACAAGAGTTCAGCACTAGCCCAGGCAAAAGAACCAAGTCTCCTCTCAATCAAAACAAAACAAAATCAGAGTCTGCAGGCTTCGGATCTAACCCCGATGCCTTCCAGACCCACAGGAAGCTCTCTGAGACCCAGAAATGTCTCTTCCTGTATGTCTGTGTTCTGAGTCACACCAAACGTGGGGACAGTCATTTCAGAATTGGGGCATCTGTCCCAGCACTAGAAGTACAGGTACTTTCAGTGTGGACTGCTTGTTAAACTGTGATGTTCTCATGTCATTGCCGTCAGTGTTAGCCTTGCTCCAGCACAGCCATGTGAAGACGGTGACACCCACTTGTGCCAGGCCAGTGTTCAGCCTGTATAGGTCCCATCTCATTAGACTCTCAAGACCTTAATAGGGATGGGTCATTATTATCCTTATTTGGCATGTAAAGAAACTATTAACAATTCAATTGCCCCTTTCCAAAACATACTGGAGAACAGGGCTGGTCCAATATGAAAAGCTGGTTAAGTGACAGTGGGCACTGGAGAACCGGGTAGCAGAGGGAGTCTTCGAACCTGCAGTCCTAACGGTCTACACCCACAGAGGAGACGCAACGGTCGCCAACCGTCCCTGGCTCAGGTTTGCTAGTAGCAGCTGATGAGTATGGCTCCTTGTTAACACCTGACAACACACCTGGCTCTGACACAGACTCTGGTCCTTCTTAAAGAGCTGTACAACGGGACTCCATAAATCCTGAGACTATTTCCACGTTGTTTGGCTACCTCTTCACGTAAGGGCAAGAGAGAAGTCCAGTGGATACCCTCTACTAAAAGCGAACAAGCAAACAGGTGCTGAGAAAAAGGCACGTGCTCAACAAGGAGCGAGTGGGTCTAAGGAAAGGCTGCGGTGTACTGTCCCACAGATGCTTTGGCTCCAGGCCGGCCAGAAGCACTGACTCATTGGAGCTGGAAAATACACGGCAACCAGCCCGAGAGTGAAAGAGCTGAGTGGAACAAGGCTATGCTTCATCCCCACATGCCAGCACCCAATTCTCTCATTTGGTCTGATGGGAAAGCAGTCATGTGAAATGCTGGCCTTATGCCAAGATTAAAAACAAAACAAAAGTGACTTCGAGCTAGACACGGTGTCTTTCCTATCTTTCACACCAGCACTCCAAAGGCTGAGGCAGCAGGACTGCAAGTGAGAGGCTGGTATGAGATAAAAAGTAAAACTTTTTCTCAAAAGGGTCCAAAGGGAAAGAAACTAACAAAATAACTACTGGGGGTTATTCGGGCATTCTCAAATTTTGGACTGCCTCTGCCAGAGGTCAACACAGACTAAAGGAAAAGGTACAGATGCAAGTGGAACATGTGGAACTTGGTCCCCTGTAGGCTCCTAACTTCACTCCACCCTCATCTCGGGCAGGTACTTAATGTGCTCAGTCTCTGAAATACAAAGAGTCACAATGCCAGCCTTCAGAGTTGGTACACTCACTGGCTGAGAACATGAAGCACTTAAAGGGCCTAGCATAGTTTTTCCTCTCCCAGGAGCAGGTCCATCTCTGGGGAGACACTGCTAAGTGTGATATTGGTGGGCGGAAGTGCGAGAGCCATCGAGAGGCCAGGGATATTCAACATTCTGCAGTGCAAACCACAGTCCCTATACCAAAGAGCATCCTGCCCCAAAATCACCAGTGCTAAGATTTGGAAATCCTCACCTGGTATGTGGCAAGGACTCACTCAATAAATACAACCTGCAAAATTATCTTCCTATTATAATAAGCCAGTGCAGTTTCTTTATCTCAAGGCTAACCATCATCTGTGAATTAAATAAGAGATAAAAATGCATTACTCACTCTGCTTCTTGTAATAGTGGGCAATAGTTGTGATATTCTGGAGACAGGAAGAGTTAGTTGCTTGGTTGATTCTGGGGAATGCAGTAGTTTTATTAAATAAATCACATAGCAGAGCACCAGAATAGCAGAATACAAAAGCTGAAACAAGAAAATAAAGGGTTGAAATGAAATTGTTTTGCTACAGGCATAATTACAACAGGACTATAAATATTCTCTTCAAGGTAAATAGAACTCGTAATTAACCGCACTTTCCAAAGAGCAGCACAGCACTGACCTCAGGCCAGCTCCGCCGCAGCACCTTCATGCACAGGCTCCAAGCACTTCACTTGCTGGAGAACTGAAGCACCGTGGCAGATGCCACTAGCTCAGCTCCAGCAATGTCAGGTACCCACCCAGCAAACTGCAGCTCCAGGTGCCCCCACCGTGCTGACAGCCAAGAATCCGCCATCATTTAGGACTGGCGTTTCCATAAACCGTGGAACCTGTGCTATTTATGATTACAATGGAATTGGACTACTGGCTCGCTCCTCTGGCAGGGTGACAGCTGATTCAAGCTGCAGGAGGAAAAGGTGGGGTCGTAAGAAGGTCCCCCTCACCCTCCACCCATCTGGGACAAAAGAATCAATTCTGGTCAGAAGTGGGCCATCCAGCTTTTGTTTGCAGGTTGAAAATGAGTATCCAAAAGGGCCCCTTTCACAGGCTCCCTTCTGCCCTCCTTCCCTTCTGAAAATGGCAGCACACCCTAGCTCAAGAACTAGGGCCACCAAGTCCCTCTTTCTACTTGCCTGCACCAAGGAAGCGCCTGTCAAAAGGCATGTGGCAGGGAAAAAGAGAAGCCATGGTTGGTAGGCTGCCTCTTATGCGCTCTCTCAGCCCCGCATAAGGCCTGTCAAGTCCTTAAAAGACAAGCAGTGTGGTTGGGAGCCACAGCAGCCATGTCAATTTTCTGCTGAGCAGAGTTTTGGGGAACAGCGGCAAGCTGAAGGCAGGGTAACACAGCCACAGGACCCTCCCTACTGTTTCCATAAGGACAAAGTCACATGATAAAACTACAGGATTCAGCGGCTTGTAGTATACTTATATTGCTGTAAAACCATCAACGTATCACCACTATCTAATTCTTTAATATTTTCATCACCTCAAAACAAACTATGGACCCTTCAAGCAATTACTGCTCATTACCCATCACTTAGCAACTGCTAATTTGCTGTGTCTGTGGACCTGCCTATCCTGGACATGAAACATCAAGGGCACCATATAACTGGTCGACTACTTCTTTCACTTAGTATGTTTTCAAGGTTTACCTCCATCGTAGAATCTATCAGTAGCTGTCTGTTCTTACCACTGACCTCTGGCTGTCCTGGGACTCTGAAGACCAGACTGACCCCAAATTTACATGGCTCCTCCTGCTTCTGCCTCCAGAGTGCTGCGATCCATGTAAGCCATCATGCAAGGAACTTCTTAGAACTGAATAACATCCCATTACTGGGACACACCAAATTTTGCTTATCCAAGTCAGTGGCTAATGGGCATTTGGGTGTGTCTATCTTTTGGTCACTATGAACAGTGTTATGGACATTCTCTTTGGTGCGCACACTTTAGAGTTTAAATGCTGGGTCATGTGACAGAGCTGTTTAATTCTTAGAGGCACTGTCATACTGCTTTTGATGGCAGCTGCATTCTTATAGACCACAGATGTACTAGTTTCAACTTCTCCACGACCTTGCCTACAGTTGTTAGTCTATACCTAATAAAAACAATACCCGCCCTAGTAAGGAAGAAGTGATAAAAGTGTGTTTATTGTAGAATATTATTTTCCAATGTGTTGCTTTTGTTTATGTTACATTTGATTAACTGTGAAGCTGTGATTCTTTGTCTGTCTAAAACACCTGATGGTCCTGATAAAGAGCTGATGGCCAATAGTGAGGCAGGAGCAAGGATAGGCGGGACTGGCAGGCAGAGAGGATAAGTAGAAGGAGAAATCTAAGAACAGCGAGAACGAGCAGCAAGAGAACAAGGAGAGGAGGACATCAGGGGCCAACCACCCACCTACACAGCAGCCACAGAGAAAGAAGCAAGGAAAGGTGTACAGAAATAGAGAAAGGTAAAAGCTCAGAGACAAAAGGTAGTCAGGATAATTTAAGAAAAGCTGGCAAGAAACAAACCAAGCTAAGGCTGAGGAATTACACATGAGAATAAGTCTCCATGTGTGATTTATCTGGGAGCTGGATGGGGGGGGGGGGTCCCTCAAAAAGCCAAAAGAGTAAAAATCACATATTTGTTCATTTTAGTCAGTTTTCTCTGTTTAGCCCAGGTTGTCATGAAACTCACAAGGTAGACCAGGTTGGCCTTGAACTCCCAGAAGTCTGCCTGCCTCTGCCTGCCCAGTGCTGGATTTAAAGGTCAGGACAGACCCTCGCTATGGTATTGATTTGCATTTCCCTAATAATTTTTGATCCTAAACATTTTCCCATGTGCTTATTGTCCATTTATTTTATAGATTCTTTAGGAAAATGTCTGTTCAAGTTCTTTGCCCAGTTTTTATCTGAGTGGCTTATCCTCATTGTCAGGTATAGGTATTCCTTATTTACTCTGAGGGGAGGAAGACCTGGGAGGCAGGTTTAACACGGGGACTCTCAGTGCCCGGGCAGGGGTCGCGTGCTGCTCTGCAGTGTCACTGCATCTGTTACCCATCTCAGTGCCTGTCCTGTCTCACTGTATGGAAACAAATGCCTTCAGTTTCCTTTGCTGAACTAAGACCCTGCCATGGGTAGGGGCTGTGCATTAGAAACACGTAGTGTCAAGTGCCTTTCCCACAGTAAGAGTGGGTCATACTGGGTGTTCCTGAGGCCTTCTATCCTACCAGAGAGAACGCATAAAAACAAGGATAATGACGAGAACTATAGGTCTAGGTCCAATAAGATAAGGGAAAAATAACCACAGATAATTTCGCTAAACTATGTATCTCTTTTCAAATTGACTTTGTGGGCAATTTTCATTCTTAATTAATTTTAAATCTAATTAGTTTGTATTCCATAAAAAATCTGTAGTTTTCAGAGGACATAGGAAAGAACGTCAAATAAATCATTACGAAGTCATTTGCCTTCTCAAACACTAATAGAAACTACAAACTAGAAATCCAGGCATGGAAGTTCATGTCTCTAATCTCAGGAGTTTGGAGGCTCACTTAGGAGCACTGCTGTAAATTCAAGGTCAGGCTGGACCACAGAGTGAAACTGTCTCCAAAACAAAACCACAAACAAAACCAAAACACGGCTGGGCGATGGTGGCGCATCCTTTAATCCCACTCGGGAGGCAGAGGTTGGCGGATCTCTGTGAGTTCGAGACCAGCCTGGTCTACAGAGCTAGTTCCAGGACAGGCTCCAAAGCCACAGAGAAACCCTGTCTCGAAAAACCAAAAAAAAAAAAAGAAAAAAAAAAAAAAAAAAAAAAAAAAAAAAAAAAAAAAAAAAACCAAAACACGGGAAACCTACAAAATGAAGCCAGGAAAATTCTGAGTGCAAGGTTACACAGCAAGAGAGCAATACCCTGTCTCCAACAAAAACAAAAGCAAACAAACAAATAAAAAAACCCAAAAACCCAAAACCAAAACAAACCCTGCAAACCACTTCACACATCTTTGATGCCTGGTAAATATCTGATCTTGGGCTTCATTTGTTTACTTTCATCTTCTTTATTTCTTTAGGTCTTTGAGACAAGGATTCTCTGTGTAGTTTTGAACTCTAGTAGGCACTGAACTTGTAGACATGAGCCTGCCCCACCTCTTGAGTGCTGGGATTAAAGGTGAGAACCCCATGACCAGCGTTAGGCTTCACTTTTACAAACAGTTCTTTCAGTCCAGCACAATCTCTATCAGAGCTGCAACTGCAGACCACAGCTAAAATACTAGATGGGGCGAAAACTGCTAAACCTGAAAGTGGACTTGCTTGGACTTGAGTCATTCACTCTGCATTATGCGAGATTTCAGTCCAAGTTTCCTCCTATTCTGCCAACAGCTGACTGAAATTCTAGGAAAATAATACACATACAATTTGATTCCTACCCCACCCTCTTATTCCCCGCCACACACTCCTCCATTAGACTATGAGACAATCACAAACCAGTTTGATATGGGCCTGCCCACAGAATGTCTAAAAGGAGTTTCTGATGCCGGACAACTGGAAAGTATGACCCTCCCAGGTCCCTAGGGACACTAGTGCCACTGTGTGAAACAGGATGGATATAGCAGCTAGAGAAGCAGTGACAAGCCAAAACTCTGGAGTTTCCAACTATTCCCACAAGCATGAATACTGTGAACATAAACACACGCTAGTGGGAACAAGGCGGGAAAAACAGATGTGGATGATGTCGAGTAAAGCATGAGCCTCACCTGCGCCAGAGAAAAAATGTACAGACCCCAGTGAGGCAACCACAGTACAAGGAAAGCCGTCAGGACACTCCGGAAGATGACGGCCATGCTCTCAGCAATGACCTGCACACAGAGAGGAAATATAAAAAGTCATCACACACACAAAACTCAGCATGGTGGTTACCCTGGTAGAGAGGATGGGGCATCCACAATAATGCTGTATTTCTTGGGATAGGTGGGCAGTTCACTCATCTTTAGTATGGAGGCTGGAGAGATGTCTCAGAAGTTAAATGCACTGACTTCTCTTCCAAAGGACCCGGGTCCAGTTCCCTGGACACATATAGTGGCTCACAACTGTCTGTAATTCCAGCTCCAGATCTAATCCCCTCTTATGGCCTCCAAAAGAACCAGGTGCCCGGCTAGTACACAGACACAAAGGTAAGCAAAACACCCATACACATAAAATTAAGTAAAAAATAAATAGACTGCACTTCCAGACATGGTGGCACACAACTTTAATCCCAGCACTTGGAAGGCACAGGCAGGTGGATCTCTGTCAATTCCAGGCCAGCCAGGGCTACAAAGTGAGACCCTGTCTCAAAAACAAATAGTCAATAAAGACTAACAACCCACACTTTCTCTTACTGCCCACATTTCCTATTCACAAGAGGGTCACTGACCTTGAGCTTAACAAACATGTGTGCTTGTGCCAAGACCCAGAAAGGCTCTCCCAGAAGCTCCAGCACTGCTGAGAGACCGAAGAACGCCACTCCAGCTCCGTAGTGGGGCACCACATCTGGATCGGGCACTTCAAGCAACTGCAACCAGACCCAGCCCAGGAGTAAGGACCAAAATATACCCAGGGGGACACTAGAAGAATAGAAAAGATGTTATTTAATACACAAAGTTTTGTCTTAAGTATAAAAACCTATTAAAATAATAACACTGAATGAAAGCAACCATCATCATAAAAATAATCTCCACAATAAGAAGCTGTTAGTGGGAAGTAGTCATCACCTACATGCCTGGCACTATGACTGAACCCTTCATCTCACTGGCACTCCACAGTGATCCTCAGTCATTACCCCCATTTAGAAGGAAACTGAGCCTGAAAGGGACCCGTGACTTGGCCAAGAACAAACACAGGACCCAATCGTGATCTAACGCCAAAACCTACACTACACCCACTGGTTTAGACTATGTCAAGGAGAAAAGTTTTCAGAAAAGCCTGTTTGTTGCCTATGCTTAGAATGGCAACTGACATTATACAATCTTGCACCCCAAATAACCAATAGTCCCTAGCATGGCACCCATTTCATGTGTGTATCACAGGGCACACAGTTGGCAGTCATCTTGCCAATCAAATGGACACTTGCCAGCCCTTCTGACAGGCACTTCTGTGAGGCAGCAGTTATGCAAGAGTGGCATTGGGAAACACCTCCGCCACCAGCCTCCGGCGGGGATCTAACTAAAGAAACCATTTTAATTTTCAGCTGACATACTTGTCTACAAGAACATTCTAAAGAATGGAAGAAAGGTGTAAAGAAGCCTTACCAGACTTTTTAATACTAAAAAAGTAGTTGCTAAAAGCTCAAAAGAAACCACAGGGCAAAAAGATTAGGAATAAAAAAAGTGGAGCAGGAAGCCAGCCCCCTTGCTACTGGAGAGCAGACCAAGTAAGCAGTATCTCCAACCAGACTCCCTTCCTGCTGCTAAACTAGTGCCCAAAACCCAGTTTGGAGACAGTTAGCTCTGTCATTTCACTAGGCACTCTTGGCATGTGTGTTCTTAAAACTCGTCGTTTCTAAAGCACAACTCACGTTAGCCACAGGAGGTTGAGGGTCTGCCTCCAGTCCCGCTGAGCACCGCCGCTCAGACAGGCTCTTCGGAAGGCCTCCCTGGCCAGGAAGACGGCCGTTGAGTAAAGAAGGGTTAGTCTAGAAAGCAAATGTAGAAATTGGTAAGGCCTCCAAATAGTTTTTAATTTTTTATTGGAAGACTCTTTAAGATTTTTCTAGTAAACGAAACAAAAAAAGACACTGGTCATAAACCAATGGTGAGTCTGGTGGCCCAAACTTGTGATTCCAACTATATGGGAAGCTGAGACAGGAAGACAAGTTCAAGGCCTGCTGGGCTACAGAATGAGTTCAAGGCCAGCCTGAACAACTTAGTGAGACCCTATCTCAAAATAAAAAGTAAAAAGGAGACTAGGGATGTGGCCCAGTGGTACAGCACTTGCCTAGCATGTGCAGAGCACCTCAGAAAAGACAAACTCCCAAACCCCACACCAGATGGGGATATAGAGCACAAAGTCTCTTACAAGACCCCCACCAGTCTGAGCCACATGGCAATCAGCGTTAGGACCCACACGAGGTACACTTGACTGTGTGTGCCTACAGCTACATCTGAGACAGAAAGCGCTGCAGTGACCTGAGAGCCTGCAGCCTATGGCTGTGGGTAGAGGTATGGACCTGGTCATAAGGAGGAAAAGACAAGCTTATCAGCCCACATAGCAAGGGGATCTCCTGGTGACACTGGAGTCTCTGTGAAAGAAGCAGAGGTTCCGTCACACGGAGGCGCTAGCCAAAGAGTTTTAGGGCAAACAGCAGTGCAGGCAGCCGTTAGGTGCTGCTGCAACCTCCACTCAGGAGGATTTGCCTGAGTTCCTTGCAGGTGGCCAGCACCTGGGTCAGTCTTCCTGAGCCCAGAGAAAAGCAGCTGTGGAGGTGCACCCTGCTCCCCAGTAGCCCACCCACATTGCAGATGAAGAGCCAAAGCCACACCTTAAACAGTGAAGATGTCAGGGCAGGCACCTGACATCTGGAGGAGAATGCATGGGAGAAACCTCTGATCCCTCTTCCTTTCTGCTTTTTAAATGCATATCTCAGCGACTCCTCTCTGCTTCAGCTCAGCCTCAGGACACTATGAACCCCACCTAGTACAAAGCTAAGCTTGGGAACTGCCATTAGGCTCTTTGGTTGGTAAATACCAGGAAATTCTGTATGGAACATACTGTTTGTTGTCTTGTTTACCAGGAGATGAAGAAACACCTGAGAAGCTGAGCGATTCCAAGGACATCATTTCATTTGTCTTTGTGTCACTTGTGAAGACAAAATAAGTGTGGGTGTCCTTGAGCAGAGAAGAAACAAGCTGGGTCTAAGACAGAACAGTTCGCTTTCCATAGAACCAATCACAAGGATTCAGGCTCTGATCCTAGCTACCCTATCTCAACTCTAAAAGCACTGAGGCGGAAGCGAAGGGGGCTGGCTGTTCCAGCCCTGCAATTATGAAGCACATCCTCACGAACTACAGAACTCCTGCTTCCTGTGTTGTCAGCAGGACAAGAACACTGGATTATACCTGAGACAAGGTTTGCAATGAATTACTCCCACTCTCTCCTGGCTTCTAAGAGCAGAGAAACCGGAAGAGCTGGGGGAGAAATGTGCATTTGGAGGTTGCTAATGGAAAACCCTGCATGGGTCCATTAAACACAGCAGGACCCGCTCATCCCCCACCCTGCACTTCTCTTCAGCCCACTGCTAAAACACACGGCTACTGGGAAAGGTATGATTCTAAAATCTGAGGGTGGCACACGGGTACAGTCTGAAAAAAACTGTGAATCGTGACAAGAGTTGCGGACAGTGCCAGGGTGCCTTCCTCTTACCTGACATTCACTATGCCCACGATCTCCTTAGACAGGAAGCGAAGGATAAATGCATTCAAGACAAAAGTGATTAATCGAAACAATACCTGTAAGAAAACACAGGTGTGTTACGTTTAGAGTGTTGACTTCACTGAAGGGAGGACTGTGGAGCTGTCCTTCCCAAGGTGATCTGACATCACAGGCAGCTCTGCTATGGAGACTCATCTCTAACATCCTTACCTCACTTGGTTTCTGTGAAGGGTAATTCCTTAGAGGCTCTTGCCATCCTGAGCAGGGAGCAAAGAACCCAGGAAGGAATATGGGAGTCTCCCTTATTCACTAAGGAGATAAGAGAGGCCGGGCATACTCAATCTTCAGGCTCAAAGTCAAGGAGACAGAGGGAGAACTGCAATAGTGGTTCACATTTATCCAGGGCCCTAGCTAAACCTCCAGACACATCCAGCCTACAGCCAGTGGGCCACTTGCGTCCCAGATAGTTATGGTGGACACCCAACACATTTCCGGATGACAATGTCAAAAGACCAGACATGCCCAAATCCTATTTAGAAACTGAACACACTAAAGCGGCTGCAGAGTATGGTAGACTCACAAAAAATCTGGGATCTAATTTCTTCTTCTCTGCCTGGCGAGATCTAGAGATTCCAAAGATATTTAATCTCTTTAAAATTTGATTTTCTTAGTTACACAGGAAACACTATGTTTATTGAATGCTTACCCCTTTCCAGAAAGGAGTTGATGCATCTTTTAAATAACAATTGTAGTAATAAGATAACATGAAACGGGAATGGGAAAACATCATCTAGCTATTGTCATTTAACACAGACACATCCTAAGACTTTCAAATCTGTCCATTAAAGCCAGGCAGGGCAGTGGTGGCGCCTGCCTTTAATCCCAGCACTGGAGAGACAGAGGCAGATGAATCTCTGAGTTTGAGGCCAGCTTGGTCTACAGGGCAAGTTCCAGGACAGACAGCCAAGGCTACACAGAGAAACCCTGTCCTGAAAAGCCAAAAATAAATAAATAATAAATGAAATGAAAACAAAGAAAGAAGAAAGTCATCTAAATAAAGAGTCCTTCCCATGAGATATAGGAAAACAAAGACCCTACAATTAAATGAGGCTCCCAAATGGAGCTGCTGAATAGGATGAAAGACTCACTCATGCTCTCTCCTCCCAGTCACAAATGACAAATCACTTCAGTGCTAAGCATGCTCAAGGTTACCCATAGAAGATTCGATCAGTGGAGACTAGAGGACTACCATGGTCTGAAAATGTTTGGGCCATTAACACTCTAGGCCATTCCTACCAGTGTTACCAGTGTCAAGAATATAACCATGTTTATGGGGTCAGTCATAGGTGATCTTCTCTGTCTGACAGAAGCTCTGAAGCCTCTTAAAAACATGTAGGTTCATATATACATGTCAAATTCTGCACTCAGTGCTGGTGGTGGGGAACCAATTCGTAGTCTTATTAAAGTACTCAGCTGAGTCTCAACCCATCACTCAGCTTTAAATGCATGCATCATCTTCTAAATTTTACAAGCTTCAATTTCCTCTGTCAAATGAGGCTAAATATCTGTCTCATAAGGTTGATTACAAGACTAAAATAAGATTATGGAAGTGAAAGCATTTTTAGTGTATAAAGGCAATAAAAACAATGTGGTCACTAGCTCAGAATTAAGACTCACAAATTACAAAATAAAATGCTGCTGCAAAGCTACCTTAAGTATCGGCATTATAACTTAAGGAAGCATAAAGGACTGAACTAAAACAATCCAAGAATATATTATATAACTATTCGAAAAAATCCATATTTACAGTTATAAAGCCCATCATTTTGTACAATAATATATGCTGATTACAATTTTTTTTGAGACAGGAGCTCAGTTGGCCTTGAACTCACAGAGAACCACTTGGCCCCACCTTCTGAGTGCTGGGATTAAAGACCCCCCCCACACACACACACCTAAGCCAAGTAATTCTTATCTTAGAAGCAGTCCTCTAACCTGTCTAACTCAGCCAGGTTCTCTTTCCTAACCTATTTGTGCTAAGATAATGGTGAAGGGCAATTCTGGACTTCTGCGCAATTGGATTGACAAACTGGAGAATGAGCGCAATGGGAAAAATGAGGAACTTGACTTAGAAAACCTGCCTAATTGGACAGAATCTTTTTTTTTAAATATTTATTTATTATGCATACAATATTCTGTCTGTGTGTATGTCTGCAGACCAGAAGAGGGCACCAGACCTCATTACAGATGGTTGTGAGCCACCATGTGGTTGCCAGGAATTGAACTCAGGACCTTTGGAAGAGCAGGCAATGCTCTTAACCACTGAGCCATCTCTCCAGCCCCAGAAAGAATCTTTATATACTACTCGGATCAGCGGTTCTCAACCTTCCTAAAGCAATGACCTTTTAATATAGTTCTCATGTTGTAGTGACCCCCCAACCATAACATTATTTTCGTTGCCACTTCAAAATTGTAATCTTGTTACTGTTATGAATCCCAATGTAAATATTATTTTAAGATAGCGGATCACAACCCATTGGTTGAGAAACGCTGATTTGGATGAACTGGCAAGTGTCATCTGGGGAAAAAAAAGGACAAAAATGTCTGTCAAGGACACACAGAAGAGGCAGTTTATTAAGTGCACACTAAGATACAGGTGCTGTGCTAAGTGTGTTTATTCAAATGATCCCAAGCAATACTTGCAAATTGCTTTCTGAATTAGATACTATTACTCTCATTCTGTCACTAAGTAGCTAAGGCTCCGGGGCTGAAGTGATTTATCCTGTCTTAGCTAGGCCATATGGTCTCTCTAAACAGTGCGAATCAGCGTTTGCTGAACAGTGTTTGATAACCAAGAAGGGCACACACAGGAAATGAACCCCTTAAAGTAAGATACTTGAGCCTAAGAAGCCTCTGTCTTTCCCATTGGATTAAACTGTGTCCTACGGCTACATGGAAATGCAATCTTCAGAAAGAAAATGACAAGTTTGCAGTCATTCCGCCAAGACTCAGACCGCGGTCTACCGACTGCTAACCCGGCGCCCCTCCCCGCCGCCGTGGACTCCCGGGGAACCGGGTAGCGCGGGAAACCAGGACAGCCTCCCCGCGAGGCGCTGAAGTTAGCGCAGCAGAGTACCTGCAGCAGGAGACTCGAGGAGGCCAGCCGGGCTGCCTGGCCCAGCACCTCCTGGCTACCCATAGCCTCAGTGCCACCGCTCAGAGGAGGAACCGCGCCTTCCGCCCGCTCCGTCGCGGGAAGACGACGTCACGAACAGGCGCGCTCCTGATTGGGGTATTGACGCGGGGGCGGAGCACAAGAAGCTGCGCGCCCGAATATCTTGTGATCCTGTGTCTTATTCGCTTTTTGCTTTTTGTTTTGTTTTGGTTTGGTTTTTCTTTCTTTTCTTTCCTTTTCTTTTTTCCTTCTTTTTGTTATTATTGTTGTTTTGAGAGTATGTTTAACTTTGGACCCTATAGTCCATGTTGGCCTAGAACTCGCAGCCGTGACCCAGGCCTAACTGCTGTCTTTTGGTTTGTGTGTTGATTTATTTTTTTTTGTTGTTGTTTTTGTTTTTCCTTTCTATAGGATTTCGTTATGTAGCTTTGGCTAGCCAGGAACTCGATATGTAGACCAGGCTTGCCTCTAACTCAGTGATACACCTGCCTCTGCCTCCCAAGTACAGGGATTCCAGCTCTTATTTGAAATAAGGTCTTGCTGTGTGGCCAAAGCTGTCCTAGAATTCACTTACAGAGTCTAAGATGGCCTTGAACTCCTGATCCTCCTCTCTCGAGCTCCCAGGAGATGAGAATACAGGAATAGACCACCACACCAAGCTGGCATCTTCTTTGTTGAGTTTTGTTTTTCTAATTAAATATTTATTTTTGTATAGTGTAGGTGTGTGTATATCAGAGAACAGCTCTCGGGAGTCAGTTATATCCACCTTTTGCATGGGTTCTGGGATCAAACTCAGATCGGCAAACTTACAGGACAAGCACTTAACTTGCTGAGCCAATTTTGTGGCCTGTTTATGTCCTTCCCAGCCCCACTTCCTGGTACTGGGGCTTGGCCCTAGGACTTCATGTGTGCAAGGCAAGTGCTCTACTGCAATGATTACAGTCCCAACCCTCTTTTATGAGTGCATGTCTCTTGTAAATAAATCAAATACTGTGCCAGTCTTGGAAGGTGGCATCATAGGCTGAGAGTGCTTACTTAACACTCAAGGAACTCCAGGTTCAATCCCAGCACCACATGTTCCTACCCTGGTGGTGTATACCTGAAATCCAGCGCTCGAGGTGAAGGCTAGAGGATCAGAAGTTCAAGGTTACCCTTAACCAGTCTACGAGACAGAAGACTCTGTCTCCAGACAAAGCAAAGAAAGACAAACAATGGTGTTGGGGACAAAGCACTCAACGGAGACTCGATAGCTGGATTCTGGCTATCGGCTCACACACAAATACAGTCACAGCACCCTTTCCCAGTTAGACTGGACAGGACTCCTCCCCATTTTACAGAGGAAAAACTGAGGACAGAAAGTTAGACACAACATTTTCATGTATGTAATTTTGTAGAACTCTTCCCAAAGCTCTGATGCTTGGGCCCCATTGTCAGAGTGAAGGAAAGGAAGCCTTGGGGGTATAAAATGCCATTTTCAAATCTGCACAGTGTAGGCCTGGGCAGAATGGGTCAGAGTCAAAGAACACACTAGAAGTACTTTAGACATTTTTTTTTTGCAAAGTCCCCAACATATACAATCATCTTTTTCTAACCTCTTAAGCCTTCCTTGATCTCAACAAACTCCTTTCCCCCCTTCACATCATCACTGTCTTCATCAGTACATTCTAGACCCCCACCAAGTTTGGAGCCCTTATTCACGACACTCAGGAGGCAACTGTATCTTTGTGAGTTTGATGCTAGCCTGGTCTACACAGCAAGTTCCAGACCAGCCAGGATGACAGTGGAATTCTGTCTCAAAACAAATGAACAAATGAAAAAACCTGGAATCCTTACCAGTCCTCAAAGAGACCTTGTCTGGTTTTTCTTTGTTTCTAAATCTGTTCCCTGACAGTGCTTTTTGCCCTTCCTGATCCTGACCCCTCACTACCCACAGTCAGTACTAGCTATGGACTAAATGTCTGTGCTCCTCAACATTCATATAATGACAGTAAATGTGGTGGCATTGGAAAGTAGTTACGTCATCAAGATGTAGCCTTTATAGTGGGATCAGTGGCCATATAAAGAAAACTCAGAGATACAGGGCTTGCCTGCCTTGTGCAAACACGTTGTTTGAGCCTCAGCACCTTGGAGTTTCTCGGTTCCTATGAGAGGATACAGAAAGAAGGTGGCTATCTACACACCATGAAGAGACCCCCCTCGCCAGAACCAAACCGGCTGACACCCTGATCATGGATGTCTAGGTTCTGTCACTTAACCGTCGCAATCTATGATATTTTGTGACATCGGCTCAAGCTGACAATGACAGTGCCTTCAAGCACTTTGTACTCTTGTCTGGATCTTTGCGTGGTCTGTACTACAGTGAAGAGATGAAAGTATGCATCTCTATTTAACTAGCCTGGGAGCGTCAAGCAGGCAGGAGTCGGCCCAGCAGGACTGACAGAGAACAACCCCTAAGCTCTCATAAATGCCTCCTGGCACGTCACTGCTGCTGCCACAGCCGAACTGCATGGCTCAACGCCTCTCTGTGCTCATCTTCCCAGCAGAAATGAACTCGGTTGAGTGTTGAGACTCTATACGTGAGGTTCTGACCATCAGGCAGACTTATCCTCAAATCCTCATTCTGCCACTCGCTAACCGGGTGACCCTCTATGTGCTGATTGTTTTATGTGGAGATACTAGGATTGGTTTTATAGCTTTTTGTGGTGGCATTTCAGTTGTATAGTAACAAAGAAAGCCTGCCTGAAGAGCTGAGAGTACAGTGACTGCCTAGCCTGTGTGAAGGCCTGGATTTAAGCCTCAGAATCTATGATATCAATCAGGGTATGGATGCAGACATAAATATAGATATCACCTGTCCTGTTAAGGTAGGTGTAAGAATTTTAGCAGTCAAGTTTGGCCTACTTCAACCTCAGTCCGAAATAGTGATCCTGCCTCCAGGAATCTCAGAATGAGACTGTGTGTTGAGAGTTGTTTCCTCCCATTTTATAATCAATCCTCTCTAGGGTTGGAATTACAGGTGTGCACCTCCCGGTTTCTATGGCAACTAGTGTGGCTCCTGGGGTTAAGGTGCATATTACACCTTAGTCTGTAAGGCTGACCAATGAGGCTGTTTTACTCTCAGATCTTCAGGCAGGCTTTATTTGTTACAATACAACTGAAATGCCACTACGAAAAGCCATAAATTCCCAAGTAAGAATTAATCATAAAAGAGTAAAAGAGTATAACAGACTCCTTGAGAGTTTGAGACTGTAAACGGTAGCCACTAAGGAACTGTCTTCCTCAGGTATCCTCCCTTCCCACTTGACTCTGTGCCAGGTGACTTCCCTGCCAGAGAAAGATGATCTGAGTCTCCAGTTTCATTACTAAACTGGTAGGAGGTGCCAGGACTGGTGCTAAGCCAGTTAGACTTCCAGGGCAATGGGGTAGGATGGGAGGTTGCCAATGGACAGAGGGCAGAATAAAGGCTATGGCAAGCCAAGCCCTGGGCCTCAACTGAGTGGCATGTTCCTGCATAACAACCACTAGGGGGCATGACTTGCTGAGCAAGGGCTTTCCTAGACCAAGGCTTCCACCTGTCCAGAAAACCTTCAACAGGTTTCCTCCTTGAAATAAAACGTCAGCACTCTGCTCCTCACTTGAAAGTCCCGGGCCATGAGAAGGCTGCTGCGATCATAACAATCCACGTTGTTGGGTCTGCAAAGCAGGGCGCTGGCTCCTGTATTTTCATGATCTCACTGAACTCTTCTAGCCGTCCAACAGGACTGTTGTCTCCTCTGTCTTACAGACCAGGAAGTAGATTTGTTTGAGGAGCAATGATTGAAAATGCCAGAATGTGAACTGGGCAGTGTGATGGTCAGTTCCATAATCAAGACTACACCAGAGGACTGACCCATTGTCACTCCTGATCTCGGGGTTCCACCTCAGCAGCCATGATTCAGGAAGGGTTCTGGAATCTGCATTGTTTGTTTGTTTGTTGTTTTGGTTTTTCGAGACAGGGTTTCTCTATGTATCTTTGGAGCCTGTCCTGGAACTTGCTCTATAGACCAGGGTGGCCTCGAACTCACAGAAATCCACCTGCGCTTCTGCCTCCCAAGTGCAGGGATTAAAGGTGTGCGCCACCACTAACTGGCTCTGCATTGGTTTTTGTGATGTTTGTCTGATTATTTTGTCTTTGGTACAGAGTCTTACTCTGTAGCCCAGGCTGGCCTGGAACTTTCTATGTAACCTTGATTGGTTATGATGCCTTGGACAAAACTCTGGAGAGCACTGCCTGAGGGCGGACCTTCAGGCACCTTAAGAAATCTGTCTGCCGTAGTGGGCTGAAGTAACTGTCTGCCCACAGGTTAAAGTGAGCCCTGAGGTCTGTCCTGAACTTGTTTACCCCTCCAATAGGCCATGCTCCCAGGGCTAGTGGTCAGTACATCAGCATCTAGAGACAGTGCCTAGTGAGAGTCTTGGAGAACATCCGTGTCAGGAATTATGCACACAACAGTCCCCGGACCCCAGTTCTTCTATAGAATGGTGTGAGAAGCTTGGAAGGCAGTCACAAGGCCCTGGTTTTACCTGGCTCCTCTGAGCATTGATCTGTGCAGAGTAGCCTGCAATACCCACAGTATCGATACGACCCATTCCCGATCCAGTGCTCTGAGCTGGGCATTGGAAGGGGCACGAGAGCAAATGAGCCCTCTCTGGGTTCAGGGGTCTCTCGTGGGAAGAACCCAGAGTGAGAGTAAGCAGGTTGAGGCTCTGAAAAGTTGCAAGGGAAAGTAGGGATGGGAGTGTGCTTCTGGCTGAAGCAGCTAAGAGGAGTCCCTTCAGGGGACGTTTTGAAGGATAAGAGGGACTGATCAAACAGAAGCACATTTAGGGCAGAGAAAGCAGAGCCAGTGAAGCCTAGAGGAGGGTACTTGCTGAGTCTGTGGGTGGACCCAGGAGTAGGCTGTGGCTATTCTTGGGGCAGAATTCTTGAACCCACCAGCCTGTGGCCAATGTTGAGCTGGCAGCCCTGAGAACAGCAAGTCCATGGTGGTGAACACAGCGTGTGAATGAATACAGACTAAGGGCATGATGG